CTTCTATATACAACCAAACTAATGTACTACAGAAAATTTTGTACATAATTAACCTCAATTTTATTCAACAAAGTACATCGATAATTTCACATTCTACAGGACTTTTTTCTTTCCCAACAAAACTGACTGAAATATTGACACTGAAGGAAACGAAACATTTAAGAAAAACAAGACAAAAAAAAACAGAGACAAATAATAACAAGGTTGCATAACTTTCTAACGCGTACGGGGATAAAATCCTATTGATCTAAGCCAAAACCAAAATCGATAACTAGACGTTTTCATTGCATTGGAAAAAAATGTACCTACCGGCTGATTGGCTGTTTAACTTTCGATTAGTATACAGACACATACAACTTTGAATATAGGACAGGCACATTATAGCATGTCTTCCCAACAAAATCAGCTGATTAGCTGAGTGAAAAAAGCAACTCAGGCTGTGAAGGCTGTCTGCCTTACTTCTTCTCAAATATTATTAAAGATACGAAGCTGGAAACAAAACAGCCTCATTTTGTAACAGCGAATAGAATATTCCACTTATGATTGAACGAATACTAAATATCAGTGTTGCCAATATAAGCCAAAAACTGTACATCATTTTTTTAAATACTTAAAAATTGTAGTGATGTTCATATCTGCTATGTGATAAATTATTTTCACAAAGACGCATAAAAATTAAAACTGCTGTAATGCACAGGCGATTATTTTAGTCTACTAAGCGACTTAACAATCGAACAGCATTACTATCGTTCTTCACTACAAATAAACGGTAATTCATAGTTCATGGTCAACTCAATGATGCACCTCACAGTTTACTTCTTCCTGTGGAGTAAAGTACACAGCTTCAAGTCCACAAAAAAAAACACATTTTGAAATATTTTGCAGCTTGGCCAACCAGAGGAGAGGAGAAACAGCTTGTCACTTCCGGGCATCTGATCAAGCGGTGGCTTGCAAAGCTTCACGATATCACTCTAGATAACTTCAAACATATCATTTATTTAGAATTGAATCACTCACAATTAACAACATGATCACTGTGTTCAAATACAATAAATATATGGCGTGTGTTATGGACAAGGTTTATAAATAGTATACAGATGCAGGTTTATAAGAAGCGGCCAAAACTGACATCACCATTTCTAACCAATGACTGGAGAAGTAGAGGCGTTTGTTCCTCAAATCTGGCATATGAGTGCTCATGTTGATCAGGCGTCCACGCTAGCACGGAGCGATGGTTGTCACATGGCCACAATTCAAGGACACTATCGCACCACGAAGAAAGTTTTGTTTGCTGGGTTTCCCAACCTGGGCCGGTCCGCCACTCCTCAGTCGATTCGGACAACCCGTCCCTTCGACGGGTCATCCATATCGCCGCGGTGGTAAGCTTGAAAGCCTGATCAAAATGAACAACCATATGTTAGATTTGAAGTGAAGTGAAGATGACTCACTAGCCTGAAGAATAGAACTGGCTGTAGCAGGGAAGTAAGATGATGGTGATGTGGGTTAAGGAGAATGATGCTTCCAAAAGCACACGAAGCCTTCCTGAGCATCATTCTCCGGTACCCACATCACCTTCATCATCTTACGCCCCTACTACAGTCAGTACTAATTCTTCAGGCTATTGAGTCATCTTCACTTTACTCTGCGACCACAAACAACGATGAGAGCCATAGAAACACCCCAGACAGCCTTTTAAAGCCAACTTCATATAGGAGCTTTTAACGTCAGGACCCTCTGCCAAATCGGACAACAGGCATCATTAGCAAGAACTCTGGAATCTAGAGCCATGGATGTATGTTGTGTTTCGGAGACACGCATACAAGACCCGAGTGTGGTCATTCACTTGACCTCACCCGGCCAACAAGGTGAATCTGCGAAATTCACTTTAAGGGTGTCAGGAGACTCCTCAGCTAGTTCGAGAGGACTCGCATGTGTAGGAATGTAGGATCCCATTGGATAGTCGTATGTGTGCAGTCTGTCTGAGCGGGTCCGTTAAAAGAAGGATGGTGTTACCCATAGTTGTCTTTTCGCAGTCTCCACTTACGCCCCAACAGACTGCAGTTCAAATGAACTAAAGGATGGCTTCTACCAGAAACCGTCTAATTTGCTGCAAAAGGCAAAACGTTCAGATATGGTTGTTTTAGCAGGCAACTTCAGTGCCCAAGTAGGGAAGCTGTGCCAGACTGAGAAGTATATAGGCGGTACGTATGGAGTTCCTTGCCGACGAACCGACAACGGTGATTGTCTTCTACAGTTCTGTTCAGATAATCATCTGTTCCTAGCCAGCAGTAACTTCAGGCATAAAGAGAGACACTGCTTAGCCTGGCGACCTCCATCACCAAGTCAATGCTGGACTCAGATACACCACATAACGATAAGGTATCATTGCCAAGGTTCAGTAGAAAACTGTAGATCCTTCTGGAACACGTGCGTAGATTCCGACCACGCTATCGTCCACGCACGTTTATATTTACGTCTAAACGGACATAAAAAATTGTTGGCAGCGTAGCAGTAATGTCCCCAACTAGATCGAGACACTGAGTCCCTATTTAAGGAAGAAATAGCGAAACGAGTGTCTCAGGTCGACAGCAGGAGTCCTCCTGAGGAAGCCTGGCACAACATACAACTAGCTGTAGACACAGCTTTAAAAGCTGTTAATAACCTGAAACCTTAAGTTAGTAAGAGCCACTGGATTTCTACAACCTCATCCGAACTGATTAAGACAAGAAGACTGATTCCGGCGGACTCCGATTATGATGAGGAGCGAAAGCTACTCAAACGCAAACTAACAAGAAGCCTTCGTAACGACCATGAACAGTGATGGGCGACAAAGGCAAAAGAGATGGAAAAGACATCGGCGATTGGTAACACCAGACAACTACTTAGGCTTATCAGGGAAAGAGGTGGTAAAAGGTAAATGATAAGTGAAACAATCTTTGAGAAAAATGGTACTATAATTAGCTCCCAGGATAAACGACTAGAACGTTGGAAAAAACACTTTGAGGAGCAGTTCAATTGGCTGACAACCACGCTCACCTTACCGAACAACCAACACTTCACTGAATGAGATATAAACACAGGTGTCCGTCTCTAACTGAGGTTACTAAAGCTGCCACTAGTCTTAAACGAGGCCAAGCTGTGGGATCCGATGGAATAACTCCAGAGGTGTTCAAGGATGGCGGAGACAGTTTATTGTCTGTGTTAACTAAGGTATTAGGCAGTGTCTGGGAATCAGGGATAGTCCCATTAGGCTGATGTAATTTACTGATTATCCCGATATACAAGAAGGGTGACGAGTCTTCCTGTGATAATCACAGGAGGATTAGCTGGACTGATATGGTATCGAAAGTTCTAGGCTCAACAATAATACATAGACTAAGCGGTTCTCGGGAGGAACAAACACGAGAGAACTAGGCAGGCTGCAGACCTGGAAGAGGGTGTATTGATCATATCTTCAGCCTTCGACAGATTCTGGAGCATAGGCAGACTTAACGGCGTCAAACAATCATCGAATTTCTTGACCTAAAGGCGGCATTCTATGGTGATGTTTGGCGGTGAAGGGAATGCCAAGAAAATACATTCCAATGATCAAGGCACTCTACTCGAACTCATGCAGTCAGGTGAGAGCTTACGGTGAGTTGTCATCTGAAGTGATGAAAACTAGTGGTGTCCATCAGGGATCCCCACTGTCCCCATTTCTATTCATTTTCATCGTGGATGTACTAAGGGAATTGACCCTAACTAACTTCAGTGATTCAAGGATTGACTTGTTACCGTCAGGGAATAATCTCGTTGACTTGAAATATGCAGATGATATAGTCGTTCTAGACGAGGACACTGACAAAATGCAGAGTCTTCTGAACACCTTGAGGAGTAGCAATCTTCGAATGTTTGGCATGTGGTGCTCTCCTGCTGTCGAATGTAAGGTGATGCTACAAGACTGAACTACATCAACTCCTAGCTTAGAAATAGGGAGTGAAGTGGTAGAGCACGTTGACCACCTAACCTATATGGGAGGTTGCATCAACCAGTGCTAGCATGTTGATCGCTGGCGAAATCTCTGCACGGATACAGAAGGCTCGTTTCCTATATGTCAGTTTACGCCATCTCTGGCGTAGACGTGATATCCAGCTGATTGTTGACCAAAGGGTGTGTGTACTGCTCAGCAGTTCGCTCCGTCCTCCTTTATGGCTGTGAGACCTGGCCATTGAAAGTGGAAGAAATGAAAAGCCTGGCTAGCTGTCTTTGATCATGGGTACCTGCGTTCTACCTCCAATGTGAAGTGGTATAATAGGGTGAGCAATATTGAGGTAAGGCATCGGTCAAGTTCTAGGTAAGGAAGGGAAATCAATCGACGAGGTTGTGAAGCAGCTGCATCGATTGAGATGGTTAGGACGTGTGTTACGCATTCCTGCCTAGACACCGCTTTGTTCGACGGGCAATGTTAGCTGACATAGGATAAATCAGGTTGGAAAAGAGCCTATGGCGGTCAAACCAAAACATGGCCTCATCAGTCAATGAAATCCACAACAGTTAATTTAAGTCACATTGGAAGGTGTAGACTTCCTGCCTGGTTGAGGTCTTCGGTACGGTAAAAACCAATGACTGGAGACAATTGGTGATATGGCTAAAATTCGTTCTTAATGATCGGTGCAGATGCATCCACTTATAATGTCCAATAAAACTATATGGATCTTCGATATTACTATTCTTTTTGCCTCATCTCTGTATACTGTCTTTATCTTGAGTTTCTTTTTACTTTCTTTTGCTTTGTGTGCTGAGTGATGTGTGACGACTCGAACTGCAGCACATCGGTGCAAAGTTCTGCGATGAAACCATCTGAATTCAACAGTAATGTTAAATTATTTTTTAAATCGGCTGAATTCTGTTCGGATATGAAAATGAATAGTTCACCTTGTGGATATTTGATTAGTTTTAAGGGAGATATCTGATTTATCAAATTTAATTATCATTAAGACAAATCTTGACATAGAACTAACCTGTTAAAGAGTTTTTATCTAAATACGTGCCTTGTGCAACAAGTTGTTCAAATTCTAAAAGCGCTTCAGCAGTCTCAGGGTCTGTAATACATTGAGGTTCTATTGTTAAGGCTAGATCGGATTCATTCTATGAAATATGAAAAAAATTAGAGTACTATGAATTTTGTATATAGGAAGCTTTTAAAATTCCCTACTTCAGAAAATAATAAAGATTTTTTTAACAGTAGTAGGTTTTAAGTGATTGCTGTATTTCTACTGACCAAAATAGAAACGGGTAAGATGGATTTTCAACTTATAACTTATAGTCAGTTTATGAGCTTGACATTCAACTACTGGGTGATAGGCTTGAACGCCGCAACATCTATTGAGAATCGAGTAGGTCGGTATTGTAATCAGCCCCCCACCCACCCACCCAATACAGTTATGGTATGTTGACAACTGTATGTAAGTGTCAGTAGTTGTTGAAAAACAAGTTGGATAATGGACTTTCCTAAACTTGATCAAAGAGGTCAATTAGAAATTTCAAAAGACTGATTATTGAACAAAGAATATTCTTTTCGATAACTTCTTCATCAGATTCTGCAGTTATATATCCATAATAATAATAAAGGTATTACTGTTATTGACATTATTTTTTAAGTAACATCGAATCTCTGATACACAGATTCCAAGATTGATGTGCGAATAGATTATTGATAGGCTATAGTTCCTAACGTGCGTATGTAATAATATGCATAAGTGTAAAACTGAATTGAACATCAAATTTCAAAAATAAATTGGCATGAATAACAACGAACACGCAGTAATGAATGTTGATGACCAATGTTCATACTGAACTTTATTCATACTGACTATAAACTTTATACAGATGAATGGCTGCAACGTAATACAGTATTTATGAATTCATACATTTAATATTAGGACAAGGTAGCAATAACAGCTGTACCTGTTTCTTTGGCACTCAGAGCTCCGGTTGTATTAAGCAAAATCGCAATAACCTCTGCTGCTTGGATCATTTGGTACCTAGAAACTTTTAGCAATTCATTTTGGTACTCGATAGATGATGGTTTGTTTGGATCAGGTGGTCTAATGTCGAACGGACTATTGATTGCTTCCATTACACTTTTATTAAACCATACAGGTAGCTATTGCCGAGCACGAACATTTATAAATTTATTGATTCGTAGATTCATCTACTGTATGATATAGTTCAGACGTGCAACTAGTAAATATTTAAATATTTCTCGCGGATGGCATTATATCACTAATTAATTATAGTTATAGATTGAACATTGAAACTATGAATTATATATACGTTTACAACTATGTATAGATTGCTAGGTTTACTGTTTACGCAACGAACTAAACAGAAATATAAACGAAACGAAACAAGTGTAGAGAGTAGTGAAGCAGGAATTTAACAATTATGAAATACGCTCAGCATTTATGCAATCAATTAAAAATAAACTAGCAAACATGGTGGAAAACTTAAAGTTAGAATATAAACAACCAAGTGACAATCACATGTATCACTATTTCTATAGACATATATGAACAACCAAATTCATTGAGGCGTGACCACAATTTTTGGCAATTCAAGTATACAATGCATGATACAGAGATAGTGAAAAGGTATGTAATACAATAACGTAAATTACATTCTCAGTTAGTCTGTGCATTAAATCCTACAGTATAGTTAGGGCTGACAAAAACAATATAATGCTAAGATTGGAATATGTACACAAAAGTATCAGTTATGGCATGAAACTAGTTATACATAACCCGGAAACACATCAGTCTCACACCTGATACTTCTTTATACCTAAATTGTTAATTTAATCTTGTTATCAGTATAAAAAGAGATGCCGTTAAAGCTAATAAAAGTGCATCTGTTTAAAATTATATATATACGCACAGAAGGAAACAGGAGTAATAAACCAAAGTAAACAAGAAAGATATTCACTTATTAAAATTATAAAGCTTGATAACGACTAACACAACTTCACTGGCTTGTAATAGCACTTACTATTATCACCTATGATTATTTCTCAAATATTTTTGTCAATTACATATGTTGCAATTACATATGTCACCAATATGCTCAAAAACTCACAAAATCAGCTTATTAAGCAAAATAAGGCAATAATTTTCAAATAAAAACTAGTCATATAAACATACCATTAGGGATAAATAATCAAAGCTGGAACTTTTAGAAAAATTAAAGTCAAGCGAGTCGTCGTTTAGAAGTTTATTGTGATCTAGATTACAACGATCGTTAGCAAGTTCCAATGGATTTCGTAACACTTTCGACTCAGAATTATCTGCAATATAAACAATAAAAAACAGCTTATCAAAGAAGTTACTATGGGGGGTTTAAGTCGTATTTCCGTCTACAATAATACTACAGAAGAATTCCAACTTGTTTTTATGAAGTTGGCAATGCCAACTACTCTTTCAGGTCCTCAAGAAAGTGTCCCAAAGCACATTGATATAAGAACTTACTTTACGTGAACCCATATCAAAATACAATTTACAACTGTTTCACAAACCGAGAACAGATAATTCGTGGTTTCCCGGACAGATGTTTTTCGTTAGCTAATGGATTCAAGCATAAAATGACAGCACAAATTGATTTGAAATTCGAAAACTCAGTCCGTACAAGCTGTGAGATAAAGATATTTAGTAGGCGACTCCGTATTTCGACTGGTTCCTCTGGAGCTTTTTGTGTTCTTTGGACACACTTCAAACATTTGTTAATAATCCATTTAATATGGCAATATTGCTTATTTCGTAGCTTCGTCAAACAGGACGAAGACTGAAAAGACCATTAATTATGGTAAAGTTGTGTTCTTCATTGCTGTATTAAATACAGGGAACGATTCTGCTAAGACTAATTCAGCAGAAAGTTATAAATATCCGCCAACAAGTCATCAGTGAATTTCTCACAGATAGACATGAGTTTAAGTTACCACGTTTTATAAAAACAGAAAAACATATATAATGGAATTATTTGGAAGCCTTCAACATCGTCTATACAAGTTGCTGTTTGCCAACTTTTGGTACTCTGCTGAACGATAGGGTCAGGAAGACCAGGTGTGTTGGGTTAGTGTCTGTTTGTGAAACAGGACAGGGAATAACGGAACAATACTAATGATATTAAATGGTTGGAGGCAATCGGCCACAGGAAGCCTTACTCGACCTAGGTTTCGTGCTAGTTGGCACTCACCAGTCAGCAAGGCGTATCTGCAACCTTGAAGGAACTCATGTCCCTCCTGAGATTCGAACCCGTGCTGCAGTCAGAGACGTTACCACTGAGCTATTCGGGCTCGCGATTGACCTCCTGTAGGACTGTAGTGGATATGTTGATTTGACACTAGTAACGAGTGTGGTGCGTCTAGTCCTCTCGTTGGAACAATACTAAATATAGCCCGAAATGCAAATGACTGGAAGTCACGTAATATTCCCCCTGTTTCCTACATTTTCAGAAATTCGTATGAAACCTAAGTTATGATATAGAATGCATTTTGTGATTGCTTTGGGAAAGATATGGACTGAGGTTCAGCACTAATAAGTTAAATGTTCCACCACACTACAAAGAATCGACGGAAGATGTGGCAATTTGAATGCTGTAAATTGTTATTGTTGTGGAATAAAGTGATTATTATTATTAATCGTGCAAGATACAGTGCTTTTACAAAGCATAATCAGATAACCTGAATACACCACCCGGGTCATTCCTGAAACCAGTGTACTGTCGTTCTACCTAGTGTTAGCAGTTGGAACGTCCCTGCATTTACCACGAGCTAGTAATCAAGCAGGTGTATTCTGTATCCTAGCACAGTTCAGTGGCGGACGATCCAACTAATGTATAATGGAAAAACCCTAGTATGAATAATAACCTGAACTTGTGCTCTCACACATACTAAACAGAATAAGGAATAATGGTCAACCATCACAGGATACTGTGTTTTTGTTACGAATACGAAAAGAAAGGGCAATCAATTATTTATGCAACGATTTTAATAACCTGATTTCCCTAGTCTTATTTATCAGACAACTATTTAGATTAAATGCACAGCTTCTAAAGCAGAAAATATCACCTACCATGTTTAGGCGACACATTCATAGGATGCTCTTCCTGTTCGGGGCCCTCACCGAATAGTGAACTTGATTCGGATAAATTACACACCGTCGAGTTACCAAAACCCGGTGAAACACTGAACGAGGAGGAGTCAACAAGATACCTATGAATCTATTACGGTCAAATTATGCATCTACTTATTTAGTTGACCATTTTCATTCTGCCATTCGCTGCTCGTATTTATTTTTAAATGATCCGAAATAGATTCGGATCTAGAAAAATGCATGTTGATTATGGCTTCTTCATTTTCTTTGGAAAGGCCTTCTTGATTCTTGCAACTTCTCTCTCGAATTAAAGCATATTCCAGCATTTTAATTCGACGAATGAGATTATATCTCAAGTTTTCAAGTCCTTCATACTTGCCTTGTAGAAACTCTATCTTTGCCTACATGTATCTACCTCTGAATTTTGTAGTTTTACCTGTAGTTCTGCTTTTTCTACATCCCACTGTGTGCGTTCTAACTGCATTTTCGACCATTCCAGTTGCAAGAAATCCAGAATTCCAGCCATTGTATAAAATCCTGTTTTTCCTGGCAACGATGGCACGTTGGCAGTTGCTTCTTCCGCATCTCTTTGAAAATGCGCAGATGTAACAGTACCACTAAGGCAATCTTCCATCATTCACCCATGACAGAGGATAGCGGCACAAATGGCTTACGGAGAGGCTGAGCACTTGAAGGTCACTTACGCACACTGTGATTGGTAGACTTTCCTTTGCGTAAACGTTGCGGCTAATACGTGTCGTACGTTACTGAGGCGGGCTTTGAAATAACAATAATAAAAGCGAATAGACATTATATTTTTTAGCCGAAGGGAACAAGTTAACATGTGTATAAATTTCACAGATGTAATAAGCATTTGATCCACTCACGAGGAGAATATTCCTGGCTAACTTAATCAAAGAAGTATAAAGTTTGAAGATTTTATCTCTTTCAGTTGGTTGTAACGGATAGATAAGAGTCACATGTATAATATTTTCTTTTTACAGAAGAGAAAATGTGACAGGTGATTTGGAAGTTACACAATTCCTAAAATCTATCGTGGAATATATAGAAGACTAATCTATGGAATTTCTCCAACTCTGTGATTGTTCCCTCCCTTGTTCACATATTCAGTGTAGCTAAGATAAGGAATTGTTCACCAGAGGTAAGATAAATTTATCTGATATGTATCCATCCTCAGATATTTCTCAATACGGTCGAAGGAACACAATGTCAATCTTTGCTTGAAAAGTTCTCATCCAGTTTCTCCGAACGGATCTGGTGGTGACGAAAACTGCAGACTGGTCGAACATCACTACCAACGGGTACAAACTGATACAGATGTTGCGGACAGAGTGTTTGGTGAACTTATGATGACTAGTCACCATAGCTATGATGCAGCTATAAAAACTCTACAACTGTGATTTTTTTCACTGGATTGTTATTCACTCTTTTTAGTGTAGATATGTACTCTTTGATTCTGATTTATTTTTAACTTCATTGATTGTTGTTTCCTTGCAAATATATGCATTTATGTCGACTAACTTTGTCTCTTTTACCTATCATGTTGAGGACATTACAGAGTTAACGAGAATGAAAGGCAACGTAGTAATACTTATGTGAAATGCGTCAGTCTTAAACTGTTATTATTTCCTCAATGCGTCATTAAGCCTTACGTAAAGTGTTTCAGTTACGTTTAGCCCGGTTGCGTATAATATTATTATTCACGATTGTTAAGAAAGTGGCCGTAAAAAATATGTTCGTACTGTGATAACGAAACATAACCTAGCAAACGTAGGTTCTATACGTGCACGACTTGTATTGGTAGTCTAGGCACTTCAAGTACACTCTGCAACGCACATCCTATTTATCACAAATAGTCTGTTATTCTTATGTTGCGTTTAACACCACTATCTCAAAGGAAATCATTAGGTAATAAAGAGATAACTACATTCTTCTTCTTGTGTTATCATTTCCTATCAATAAGCTCTTACATGATCACATCAACGCTTAGACTCGTGCATTAGTTGACTACGTCACTAAACTTCATTGATTATTTCGTTATCATAAAATACGGTAACACATTAGATAGGCTTTTGTTGTGCATATCGCCTGTTTAAGGTTTCCTAGCGAAAGCAATTACTCAAAAGCAATAGCAGTACCCCATCGTGACCAAATTCAACCACGTGTAAATATGACATTTTACGAATATTACGTCTTCTACACTGGCATCACTTCGCTACTCCACAAACAGTAAGTATTAATAGTGTATGAATGGAGTGAAAAATTTTCAAAACAATATTTATTTCGATAAATACATTCGTAATATCACAAATATTTCATCATTTACACAAATATTATCCTTTTTAATCCCATTAGAATGTCTAAATGTATTGAGTGATTGAGGAAGTAAAGACCATAATCTGGAAATTAAAGATGATAAAAATTTAGTGAGAAAATGGTGAGTTATATAAATAACTTAAAACATAGTACCTACCAGTTAAACGACTGCCTCTTCACCGTTATCTGACGAAATAAGCAACTCAGTTTCCTTTCTTACTGTGAGATTTGGTAAAGATCATGAAATCATACCTACCTCGATATTTAAACATCTCCTCATCATTTAAGTAAAATACACTAAAAAATTGGAATTATTTAGCATTTTCTATCATAATTGACATTTTCCGACGAATTCTGACATTTCTTATGCGCCTCAGCATGTCAATTCGATGAAAGGACAGCATCTTTAAACACACTGAAAACGACCGTTATTCTCAAGTTTTACACGATTTTTCGTTAAAATACGGTATGTAAACCGTATTTTTGTCGAAAAAACCACTAAAAACAACGTAGAATAGCCCAAACACAACACCACGATAACACCTTACAAACTGCAGCAATCAGCTGATTTGTGCCGCTATCCTCTGCCTTCACCGACAGAGGATAGCGGCACAAATGGCTTACGGAGAGGCTGAGCACTTGAAGGTCACTTACGCACACTGTGATTGGTAGACTTTCCTTTGCGTAAACGTTGCGGCTAATACGTGTCGTACGTTACTGAGGCGGGCTTTGAAATAACAATAATAAAAGCGAATAGACATTATATTTTTTAGCCGAAGGGAACAAGTTAACATGTGTATAAATTTCACAGATGTAATAAGCATTTGATCCACTCACGAGGAGAATATTCCTGGCTAACTTAATCAAAGAAGTATAAAGTTTGAAGATTTTATCTCTTTCAGTTGGTTGTAACGGATAGATAAGAGTCACATGTATAATATTTTCTTTTTACAGAAGAGAAAATGTGACAGGTGATTTGGAAGTTACACAATTCCTAAAATCTATCGTGGAATATATAGAAGACTAATCTATGGAATTTCTCCAACTCTGTGATTGTTCCCTCCCTTGTTCACATATTCAGTGTAGCTAAGATAAGGAATTGTTCACCAGAGGTAAGATAAATTTATCTGATATGTATCCATCCTCAGATATTTCTCAATACGGTCGAAGGAACACAATGTCAATCTTTGCTTGAAAAGTTCTCATCCAGTTTCTCCGAACGGATCTGGTGGTGACGAAAACTGCAGACTGGTCGAACATCACTACCAACGGGTACAAACTGATACAGATGTTGCGGACAGAGTGTTTGGTGAACTTATGATGACTAGTCACCATAGCTATGATGCAGCTATAAAAACTCTACAACTGTGATTTTTTTCACTGGATTGTTATTCACTCTTTTTAGTGTAGATATGTACTCTTTGATTCTGATTTATTTTTAACTTCATTGATTGTTGTTTCCTTGCAAATATATGCATTTATGTCGACTAACTTTGTCTCTTTTACCTATCATGTTGAGGACATTACAGAGTTAACGAGAATGAAAGGCAACGTAGTAATACTTATGTGAAATGCGTCAGTCTTAAACTGTTATTATTTCCTCAATGCGTCATTAAGCCTTACGTAAAGTGTTTCAGTTACGTTTAGCCCGGTTGCGTATAATATTATTATTCACGATTGTTAAGAAAGTGGCCGTAAAAAATATGTTCGTACTGTGATAACGAAACATAACCTAGCAAACGTAGGTTCTATACGTGCACGACTTGTATTGGTAGTCTAGGCACTTCAAGTACACTCTGCAACGCACATCCTATTTATCACAAATAGTCTGTTATTCTTATGTTGCGTTTAACACCACTATCTCAAAGGAAATCATTAGGTAATAAAGAGATAACTACATTCTTCTTCTTGTGTTATCATTTCCTATCAATAAGCTCTTACATGATCACATCAACGCTTAGACTCGTGCATTAGTTGACTACGTCACTAAACTTCATTGATTATTTCGTTATCATAAAATACGGTAACACATTAGATAGGCTTTTGTTGTGCATATCGCCTGTTTAAGGTTTCCTAGCGAAAGCAATTACTCAAAAGCAATAGCAGTACCCCATCGTGACCAAATTCAACCACGTGTAAATATGACATTTTACGAATATTACGTCTTCTACACTGGCATCACTTCGCTACTCCACAAACAGTAAGTATTAATAGTGTATGAATGGAGTGAAAAATTTTCAAAACAATATTTATTTCGATAAATACATTCGTAATATCACAAATATTTCATCATTTACACAAATATTATCCTTTTTAATCCCATTAGAATGTCTAAATGTATTGAGTGATTGAGGAAGTAAAGACCATAATCTGGAAATTAAAGATGATAAAAATTTAGTGAGAAAATGGTGAGTTATATAAATAACTTAAAACATAGTACCTACCAGTTAAACGACTGCCTCTTCACCGTTATCTGACGAAATAAGCAACTCAGTTTCCTTTCTTACTGTGAGATTTGGTAAAGATCATGAAATCATACCTACCTCGATATTTAAACATCTCCTCATCATTTAAGTAAAATACACTAAAAAATTGGAATTATTTAGCATTTTCTATCATAATTGACATTTTCCGACGAATTCTGACATTTCTTATGCGCCTCAGCATGTCAATTCGATGAAAGGACAGCATCTTTAAACACACTGAAAACGACCGTTATTCTCAAGTTTTACACGATTTTTCGTTAAAATACGGTATGTAAACCGTATTTTTGTCGAAAAAACCACTAAAAACAACGTAGAATAGCCCAAACACAACACCACGATAACACCTTACAAACTGCAGCAATCAGCTGATTTGTGCCGCTATCCTCTGCCTTCACCCATCCGTAGCTCCACATTAAATTTGTGTGCGTTTCAACATTCAATTATTACTTCCAAAGCTACAGTTTACAGATAGTTCGCAGTCTAGAGCTTAAGAAGTAAAGCTGACTGTACTTCTTTATGAGTTCTTACACTGCGCTATACAGTGCATGTCTATTTTTGCTTTGGACAAACTGGCTGATACTGGAACAACATGGTGCGGTAGATAACTTCATGGGTTTACAAACCCTCGAGACATAACCAACTCTACCATGGCTTTTTGAACCTGAGGGTGATTTCATCACAAGTGGTCTATTCTACAGAGGATAAATAAGTGGAACAAAGTAGTATCCAAATCACTACATAAGATACAGAATACCAGTAGAATGTGGAAAGACGATTTTGTAGTTTTTGTTAGAATTTGGAAAAATTACACCCTTTCCTATCAGAACATTGCATATTCCTGTATTGTGTAAGAAATATGTGTTAGTCTCATGTATCACAAACCTCCTAACATTCACAGGCAATAGCGACTTTACCTATGGAGTTACCCAAGCTTACAGTAATTCTAAACTTATTCCAACCTATTCTCCGATAATGCCTTTTTATGGTAAATGAAGATACTATCTACCCACTATGTTCTGAAATAACTCTCGTCGTGCCTAAAAAGAGAATTGGGTGCTGAATTAAGTCTTTTCGTTCTGAAGTAACGCTAGTTCTTGCTTAATATGCCCTGTGAGGGCCGGAACATCACTGATAAGCAAACCCAGTAGGTTCTGATCTATTCTTGAAAATGCCTAGAAAAAGAGCACGGTGCTGAATTGGGGCCAGTCATGCTGAAAATCGGCACCGAGTTCTAGTCTGTTCCATTAAAGAATCCATTTCAGAACAGATTCAGAATTTACTCACAATAGAATGTTAGAATTGTTTCAGAACTAGTGAGATTTAATTCAGCATTGTAGTAAACTTGGGTAGTCACAGAAGTTGTGTATTTCATTGACAATGTCTCGGGAAATCTTCC